AAGGATGGACAGGGCCCGTCTCCCAGTCTGTGTGGAAGGACAGAAGCTAGCACGCACAGCTGGCCTAACCCTAGTTGTGACCTTTTATTCCTCTGACTACTAGGGCCCCCACTGGCTCCTGCTCCCTACACCCTCATTCTCCCTTTAAAACTCCCAGTCACCTCCATGTAAATGAGAACAGAGCTAGGCTCCTTCCCCTACTGTCAGTGGTTACTGAATGAAACCCGCTCTCACTACTTTAACTAAGGTCCGGCTTTAGGTATCTCTGACAATGGACAGTCCCTGGTGGCATTCGTGGCTTTGTTAATTAACATAAGTGACATTAGAAATGGGCTTTCAGTGAGGAAAATCTCAGCGATCAAGTAACATGATCTTGCTGGAAACACCTCAGCCTGGGCATTGATGCCCTGACAGGAACTGGCTATAAGGAGAGAGGGACTCTTCACCTGAGAACGGCACCAGGCTGGATCCATCCACACGGTCCTGCTGGTTCGACAGTCTTGGTCAAGTGCTGCCTACTGCAATGCTGTCGCATCTGCCTCAGCTGAGCACGCAAACTGCACGTCGGTGCGCCAAGGAGGCCCGAGAGCTGGAACTCCGTGAAGCCTCAGATCAGGCTGCACGACTGCTCTGCGCCCAGCTGCCAATAAACGTCTGCATGTGTGGCAGAGCCTGCTTTCTTCATAACCTGGACCACGTTACGAGGAAGAAGCCACACGTCACGCACCCATAACTACTGGCAACCACCAATGTCTACCGAGACAGCCTAACAGCGGTGTACTCAAAACTGCCTTAAGTCCATTATGAGCAACAATAATGAGCAACAGTTACTCAGTATTTATTCATATGGTAATGTTTGTATGGTAATACAAACAACAAGGAATAGGAATCTCACAGTTAAGAGCCCCAACTCGAGTCAGGTGGACCAGTGTTCAAGGCTGGCTCCACCATGGAACATCAGTCCAGTTCATTTATTTCTTGGTACTTAGTCCCCTCACCTGCAAAAGGAGGCCATTTAGAACATTACCCAGCCCAACTTGTGAAGAATGAATGAAGATATAACGTAGGTAAAAACAGACACTGAAGGCATGAAATAAACTTGAGTACTGTTATTATCATCATTAACACTTACACTTCCCCGAACAGCCTTATCCTCAAACTGCCTGGAAAGGGCTGTCCAGATTTTTCTACTGCTCATCTCATTTCACCTCTGACAGCATGTACTGTCATTTTCTGTGGCTATCTTCCTCCACACTCCCACCCCCAACTAGCCCTTAAGTTCCAGGAGAGCAAGGAAGCTCTCTGCTCCTCACCCAGTCCCCAGGGGCCTACCACAGTGCGGGGGTACCCAGAAGGCATTGAGTGGCCACTCTTCCGTAATCTCTGCTTCCATCAGCATCCATTAGCCAACAGCCTAAGCAAAATCTAAGTGTATATCCGAGTCGATGCAAAAATAAAATAAGATGACCTGGAGACCGTCCAGAGGCAGATGGGTAATGCCACTAACAAACTAAGATTTCTCCTTCTTAGTGCCAAACCCTGGACTAGAGGCTTCATTTCTATTATCACATGTAATCCTCATAATAACAGGAGGAGGAATTGTCACACCCATCCTACAGCGGAGGAAGACTGAGGTTGATGGAGGGTCAGTAACGTGTGCAGTACACCAGCCCTTGCTGTGCAGACTCCCCAGCTGAAACCCAGACCTGAGCCCAAAGCACAGGCTCTCTTCCGCGTTACACACGGCTCCCAGTTGTCCTCCGTTAAAGTGCTCAAAATTCCTATCTCCAACCTCCAACTTCTGACTTAAACATCCAACTGGTGACTTGCCATCTCCATTTAATTTATAACAGGCGTCTGAAAAGTAAGAAAGCCAAAAGAAAACTATGGGTTTTCCTCGCCAAATGTCCTCCTCCCTCACCTCAGTACAAGGCACCACCAGCTCTCCAGCTGCTCAAGCCAAGAACAGAATCTCTCCCATTCCCGCACCCCACTTCTCCCCCACGCACAAGTCCTGCTCCGCCTCTACAGAATGCCCAGAAGCCAGCACCGTCCATGGTAAGCACTACTCCTCTCTCCTGGGACCACAGCAACAGCACACGGCCAGGACTCAAGCTCCAAAGGGACGGATTTTTGCTCACTGCTGAAGCCTAGAACACTGCCTGCACACAAGAGGAGGCTTAACTGCCTCTCTGAACAGACTCCTCTCTGAATGGACAGCTCTGACTGCTCTCCCTACCCCCACTCTAGTCCTTCATACAGCTGAGCCTCCACAGCACCAAGAGAGATCTTCCAAGTAGAAGTTAAACCACAGCTCTCACTGTATCAGGCATAAAACCCAAACTCCCAACAGTGGTTGACAGTCTCCACCCACATCTGGGCCTGGCTGCCTCTCGACCTCATATGTGACACTCCAGCCACCCTGGACTCCCTTCTGTTCTTTGAACACCCTGGAAGGCTCCTTACCCAGACCTCGATACAGGTGCCTCTTCTTGCTGATCAGTCTCAATTCCAGGGGCGTCTTCTCAGACAGGCTTCCCCAGCAACCCTACCCAAAGCCACTCTGCCACTCAGTCTCCTTACAGTACCAGTACTTACTGTGTCATTATTGACACACTTATGGAATGTCCCCCACCCCCGGCCCCAACTGGACCCACCACTGAAGGCAGAGATGATGTCTGTCTGGCTCACTGCCATAGCTCCAGCTCCTGGCACATAGTAGGTGCTGTGATATTGTGATATGATCAGAAATATATATTTGGTCTTTGTCCCCCATAGGGGAGGCCATGGAGACTTGTGATTGGAGTCCGAAATGGGGCGTGGGCTGGGGGGAGTCTTGTGGGACTAAGCCTTTGACCTGTGGGATACCAACTCCAGATAGATGTCAGAAGTGAATTGAATTGTTGTACGCCCGGCTGATGTCCAGAGAGCTGAGGAATTGGTTGGTGTGGGGTAAAAAACCCTACATACATTTAATGTCAGAAGTACTGTGAGTAAAAACAGTTTATAGGTGCTCAAATTAAAAAAAAGATTCGGGGGGCCGGCCCGGTGGTGCAGTGGTTAAGTTCGCAGGTTCTGCTTCGGCAGCCCAGGGTTCGCGGATCCCGGCTGCAGACCTACGCACAGCTTATCAAGCCATGCTGTGACAGGTGTCCCATATATAGAATATAGGAAGATGGGCCTGGATGTTAGCTCAGGGCCAGTCTTCCTCAGCAAAAAGAGGAGGATTGGTGGCGGATGTTAGCTCAGGGCTAATCTTCCTCAAAAAAAAAAAAACAAAGATTTGTAGACTTAGATAGCTTCTGCTGGTGCTGTCTTTTCAAATGTAAACTTCACAGCCCCAGGCATAGGAAATCTTAGTGTCATCACCCCCAGCTGTGCGAGACCCACCACAGAGATGCCTCCAGCAGGCCCAAGAAAGCAGAAGTCAACCTTCCCGTGATGAACGGTCAGGACTGGGTTCTTTCCAAAGTCCTGAGAGGGGGATTTTAGAAACAAGTGATTAAATACTGCCAAAATATCAGCCATGCCAATACCTCTTTTCCAGTACCCACTTGAGTCCTGGTAATAATTTTCAGAGCTCTAAATTAACTGCTTGGAGTCACAGAAAGCCTCAGGCGGCTTTCAAGGGACTAGGGGAAGACAGATGCCCCTAAATACCTGTAGGGTAACTACCGCATAACGAAAAGTGTTGCATCAGATTGGAAATAAACAACAACGAAAGATTTGAAAAGTTTTCTTGAGATTCAGAAAGTTCCTAGGTCTCAGAAGCCCTGGTAAGGTGGTAAGCATCCTCTCCTCTTGTCCAACACGGCAAGTCATTACACTTCAAGTCAGAAACCTCAATTTCCTCATCTCTGAGAAAGCCAGACTGAATGCATGCCAAGTACCTATTCGACCTCAAAAACCAAACAATGACTTCACGTGGCTACTCGAAAGAGGACCGATCATCTGCCAGTATAATCGGCCGGTTACAGAAACCCACGCTTAACCCGGCATCACTCATGGGCTGGCCCCCGATTGTCGCAGGGCTGCATGTATTAAGAAGCAAGAACAACCCCGCACCTGAATGCCCCGCGGAGTCAAAGATTCATTTGAGAAAACACACCATTAAAACTCTCTAAGAAATGTTGATAATCAATATGGATAAGGAGGGGGGAGCTCGAGTCCGGAAAACTTTACCTACTTAGTTTTTTCTAACTCTACAGGAAAGAGTGAAATTAGCATTAAAGGGTTAAAACCTCCTAATTCGGCCCTGATGCACTACTAACCGGGAGGAGACGCCTATCCCAAGTGGACATATGTGTGTTAAGATATCACGAGTTTAATAGGCAAGAGGTGCAAAACAGGTTTTGGCAAGTTCAGCTGGAAGGAGAAACGGGAAGGCTCGCGCTCTACGAGGCAGCCGAGGCAACCGTGTCTGGGTCCAGACAGGGCTGAGTCCTCCCTGCACCCAGACCTGAACACCGGAGTTTGGAAACCAGGCTTTGAGACGTTCTCTCGAAGACAAGAGCTAACGCCATGCGCAACCTGTTTGGGCCACATGACCCGAGTTTTGTTCGGGGCACGGGAAAGGAGACGTCGCCCAAACCCACGCCTTTCCCTAGGTTCATCAGGAAGGCAAAGTCGGGTGCGCTACGGAGCTCAGCACCACACTCGCGCCCTGGGGGGCGGCGACACGCTTCAGAAGCAGTCGGGATCCTCCGCCCAGCCCCGCCCGCCCCACCCAAGGCTAAGTCCCGAAGGCCGGAGGGGAAGACCTCGGGGTCTCCTCTCGGGCTTCCCCGTGTCCCCTTCCCGCACAGGGCTTCCCCGATGGTTGAGAGCCACGCTCAGGCCCGAGGCACTGACCAGGGCAGCGCGAGGTCAGCCCGAGCGACCCACCACCGCCCTACTTGGGGCTGAGGAGCTGGGGCGCGCACCCAGGGTAGCCCGGGGTGCCTGCGCCCCGGGCCCGGTCCCCGATCCGCCGCCCCCGCGCGGCGCCCAGCCCTGCTCACCTGGCCCGCACAGCACCGCGCTGACATCGCGGCGGCCGACGACCCCGGCCGCGCTCCCTCGCTCCCAGCTCCCCTCCGGCCCGCCTGGCTTCCCCCGGCCTCGAGCACGTCTCGCTCTCCGGCTCACGCCTGGACGCGGAGCAGCCCCAGCTGAGCCCGAGGCCCCGCGGCCAGGGTACAAACAGGCGCCGCCAAGCCCCGCCCCGCCGCCGAGGCCCCGCCCCCTGGGGCCGCGGCCGCCGCAGCCCCGCCCCGCGCCCGCCCCTTCCCGGGCGCCCGGCCGCCGAGCAGGCTCGCCGCGGGCTCGCACTTCCGCTGGCGTCAGGCGGCTGGCGGCGGCGATCACTTCCCGGTGCGGCGCCGTGCTCCCAAGTCCTGCGCCGGCCCGGTGCCGCTCGGTCCCCCGCCCGCTGGCCCGCGGCTCCCGCGGAAGAGCTGGTTGCCCATCCCAGGAGAGCTTGGAGCCTTCAGTGAGCGAGTCCCGAGTGTCCCGCCCCGAGCCGGCGCGGCGGGACCGCGGCTGCGCGCCACCTGGGACATCCACGGGACCCCCGTTGCCGAAATCCCTGTACCTTCCTCATCTGCCAAGAAAACTTACCAAATTCTGAGAAAGTCACCTGTGCCCAAGCTTCCCCGACTCTGGGCGCTGGGCGGTCCTGCCCTGACGTTCCCACGACTCTTCGGGAGACCGGGGAGAGCCCTTTCTGCGCTTCCCTGGATATTCCGGCCTCTCCTCCCCCGCCCGCCAGAGACCACCTCCCAGCCCAGGGACTTGGTTTGCATCCCTGCTTCCCGCCCCCCTCCCGGTTCACTACAAAGATGGTCCCGGATAACTGCTGGTTCTATGCAGAAGGCAGAGAGGACGCCCCTGGTTTTTCTCCCTCTCCGTGTCTCATCACAGCCGCCTCCCCAAGAAGAGTAAGGGAATTTGTGTTAGTGCGAAGTTTGCGCCAAGCCCTTTCCTCTTTAAAACAGACATTACTGTAACCGCTTTCGAAGTGAGGCAACTGAAGCCCAGACAGGTTGCTTTAACTTGCCCAAAGCCTCACAGCAAAGCTGAAGAAGCAGAACTGGGATTGGAATCCACGTGTCTGACCCCTCCGGCAGGATGCAGTCTGTTTAACTGGACTCGCTTCTAGACAGAGCCTTTGGCAAAGGCAGTTTAGGAGCTGGAGACTAGAGTCGCGTGGGAACCAGTCCTCGGGATATGAGCTGCACAGAATCTCCCACAATCTCAGATGCGGTGTTTAGAGAGAGAGAAATAATGGAGCAGGCCCTACTCAGAGCCACGGAAAGTAATGAGAAGTTGGCTAAGAAATGTTTTTAAAAACAGCATAAACAGTATCGGATCCACCCAGGAACCTGCTCGGTTGTGGCCTGTGATCCATCAGAGGCAGAGGGTCTGTAGTGAGCTTTCTAGTGAGCCTCCTTGTTGGCGGAGGCCTTCGCTATGGCCCATCTTCTCGCCTAGGGGGACTAGTTGGGCACCTGGAGTTTCTGCCCACGGCCGGGCAGGTTCCCAGAAAAGGAAAGGTGTGAAATTGACCTTCTTTTGAGCGGGCTGGGACTCCAGGGCTGGTCGCCTCTTAGGGACTAGGGCTCAGGAAGGTAAGAAGCATCACCAGGGACCACTGGGTGAGAAGCAGAGCAGGTTGTAGGTTCCACGCCTCCTGAGTCCTGTGCTCTTTTTGCCAAATCCATGCCAATGTGGGAGGGTTCTGTGACTATATCACTGTTGACCTCGCAGAGAAAGAGAACACAAGTCTTACTAACCTGAGAATTTATAGACTCTGCCCCAAGGTACATGAAAACCCTAGTGGAAGCCTGAGCTCTTGGAGCCAGGAAGTGGCAAGTTTTAACTCCACCAGGAGCTGGCTGGGCGGCCTCTGAGCCTCAGTTTTATCATCAGCAAAACAGGGCTAACAGTACATTCTCCAAGGATTGATAAACTCACCCCTACACATCTTGCAGCACGGGGCCCAGCCTTCGTAAGCACTGACTAAATAGTAGCCCTGACTGGTATTAATAAACTAGTTTAAATGATGTTGAAAAAATAATCTATGCAGGCTGATTCCCCGCTCCCTGCTGGAAGATCTCAAAGGACTGTGGCCAGGTCTGGAAGGGTACCACCCTCCTGGTTGGAGGGCTTTGCAGTTACTATTCAGGGTCTGGTTGGTAGCATCCTTTGCATCTGTGGTCAGTTAACAAGAACAGAGGTAATGCCAGCAGACATAACATAAAACAGTGGCACCTTAATTTTATTTTAAGTACTCTACAGACTTTTTCAAGAAGACAGTTGTGTACCGTGTCCCTACAGAGTAGGCAGTTTTCCAGTCCATCTCTTTTGATACAGATTTTTCAGGAATAAGCAGTAACAGACCTGTTTTCTTAAGACTGTAGCTCTTGGCAGACCTTGTGAAATATTTCCCCCACAAAAATTTTCTTAAATTAACTGAATGAGCTCCTTTTATACAATATAATTACATATGTATACATATGACATATTATAAATAACTAGCTTATAATTTGCTTTTTTTCCCCCTCCTGAATTTGAAGTTTTTTTGGCTTTTCCTTTTTAGGAAGGAGAAAACATTGAGTTAGAAACACTACTCACTGAACTGAAAACAACAGTGATATACATGAAAGAAAAAAGCATAATCATAGAGGATCACTTTGTTTTTTACCTTTAATGAATTTAGAAAACTTCATTACAAATTTAATTTCCAGTTCAAGAATGGCTTAGAAGCAAATAAAATTAATTATTCTAATTCCCTAAAACTGTATCAACTTTGAAAAATCCTAATGATGTGTTCTGTTGGTTTTTAAATATAAAAGAAAAAATTTCCCTAATCTTAGCTTACAAAGTCTCTAGGGACCTCAATCTAGTAGTGGATGTTTAATTAATTTCTGTTACAAGTTAACAAGAAAGTATTCATTTAGAATACCTATAAATTTGGGGCCTCAGGCAAAAAATAATCAGAACTGGGCCGTCCTGGTGGCGCAGCGGTTAAGTTCGCACGTTCCACTTCCGGTGGCCTGGGGTTCGCCGGTTCGGATCCTGGGTGTGGACATGGCACCGCTTGGCAAAGCCATGCTGTGGCAGGCGTCCCACAAACAAAATGGAGGAAGATGGGCATGAATGTTAGCTCAGGGCCAGTCTTCCTCAGCAAAAACAGGAGGATTGGCAGCAGTTAGCTCAGGGCTAATCTTCCTCAAAAAAAAAAAATAAATTTTTTTAAAAATTAAATAAATAAATAATCAGAACCTTGTAGTTCCCCCATTCCACTCCTGGTAATTTCCTTTATTTATTATTTATTTATTTACTCTCCTTTATTTCTATTAAATTAATATATCCACAATGTTTTTGGTGTTTTTTTTCCAAATAACTTCCAATTATTTTATCAGTTTTTCCTATTTACCTCCATATTTTCAAATAATATTCTTATGCTGTTATTTCCTGATCTGTTGCCTGTACTTATTGTGAATTATCTTTTGTGTTCTATGTGGGCTGAAAGTTTAACCCACTGAGCGCTATCATTTGCTATCTTGCCAATCTAATTTATATCACAGTTTTCAAAGAATTAAAAGTCAACGTTTATGGGATTATGGCTAGTAAAAATTATTCATTGCATAGCTGCATAGTGTATAATAATAGCATTTCTTTCTTGTCGACCTTTCATTTTTCGATCCCATCCGCCTCTCTTGGAGAGGCAGGGATATTCCTGTGTTTAGGGGTGGGGACACTGGACCCAGACCTGGGATCAGATCTTTGCATGGTCACTTATTAGCTCTGTGATTTTGAGGAGGTGCCTTCATCTCTCTGCCCGTCAGTTTCTTCCTCTATAAGATGAGGAGGATTCATAAATGAATGTACATTGAAGCACTAAGAACAGCACCTAGCACGTATTAAGTATTTCATGTTATGTTTTACTTGCATGATTTTCTATGTACCTAATCTTGATTTTTCTCCTTTCTCTCTCTCATCTGTCATAATTCTTTTTTCCCAGGTAATCAACCATGTCAGATAATCTATCAATTTCATTTCTTCCGAGAGCCCTCTCTTTCTCCTAGAACTCTCCAAACTGCTGGGATCTGGGTCCCTCCAGGCTGCCCCTGCACCATGGCCATCCTGGCCTCCCCTGGCTACTCTCTTCTGTTGGATATCTGGCTTTCTGGGCTCCTCTTTCTTGGTTTACTCCCTTGTTTTGGTGAGCCCATCAGCAGCTTTGGGACTCCAAACCCCTGCCTTTAACCCTATACTGACTTTCTTTGAGCTGTCCAACCTAAAATAAAAATTACTAATCTTCCTTTTTAACACTGTGGGGGGTCAGAATTGGCCACCCCAGAATGTGTCTCTTTGGCTTGATTATTATTTTTAAGAAAAAAGACTCTGAAAGAAACTTTGACCTCCCCCGCAACTGCCTAAAAGAAATTTAAGATAAAGGGCCTGTCCCTAGGACAAGCCATCGCCATAGATAACTCTGGGTTTCCATAGACCGGGGAAGATCCTGGCTAAGCCCATTCTTATCAAAGGTCTATCTACCAAACATTTGCTTTTCCATTTCCATGTGAATTGCCTTCCTCCCCTTTGAAGCCCCAAACCGCTATCCTCCTCCACCCCCTATCCTCCTTTGTCTTTAGCTGAAGACAGTATTTAAGGTGGCAGCCTCAGCCATTCCAGCTGAGTTACCCAGTTTTCCTGGGTTTCTCCCATGTATACATGTTATAAAGCTTTGTTTGATTTTCTCCTGTTATTCTGTCTCCTGTCAATTTAATTCTTAGGCCAGCCAGAAGGACCTAGAGGACAGAGGAATTGTCTTCCTCCCCTACAACATGAATCCTTTTGTTGTGCCCTCATCCTGCCTTTAATTCCATTACCTCCTGTCTCCTCGATTTTCTCTCTTCCAGGCATTTTCAGTCCTTGCTTTCTATTGAATCATTCTCAAGCTACAAACATGCTCAAATTTCTCCTAAATTAAACAACACGTAGAAACCTCTCTTTGACTCAGCTGCTGAGACAGGAACCAGCCTAAGGAGACAGGGCCATCTGCAAGGCCCCTGACCTAACAAGATAAGGTCCCTAACCCATCAGCAAGCTAGGAGAATCAGATAGAGGCCACCAGGACCCACATTCCGCAGCCTCTGGACTCTCCTGGGCTTTCCCATGGGCCCTAGCACCC